TCTTAATATTGATTGTGTGTGTGTGTGTGTGTGTAAATAAATAAGGACAATAGTTGCTCACTGTAGTAATGGGTCGTTTTTTTTTTTTTTCTTTTCCTATTTGTAGCTTAGTTAGAAAGATAATTAAATTATAGTATTTTTAGGACATCTTATTCTACTGACTTTTTTTCTCTCTCTCTCTCTCAAATTCATATTTGAAAGGTACATGGCAAAATTTTGAAGGGATGCGACAATTATATATTGTGAATTGGGTAGCTAAGTTATTTGGAGACACTGATCAAATGTAGAATATTTTTAAGGATAAATTTTTAAATATTCAAGATGTACGTATTCCTTATAGAAAGAAAAGGGTGGCTGCAGTAAAAAACGAGGTTGGCTCGCAAAGAGTGTAAGAGATAAAATTAAAGAAGAGCATCACAAATTTAAGAAACTTAAATTTACTGGTATGATGGGATACTTAGAAGATTATAGAAGATCAAGAAAGTTGGTGCAACAGGAAATTAGGACATCAAAAAGATTGGCTGAAAATGTAAAACTTGACAGTAAGGATTTCATTAAGTACATTAAGGATTAAACAAATTTTTAGAATGGGATTGGATCCCTGAGGGGTAAAGGAAGGCTTCTATCTGATGATTATGAAATGGTTGGGTTATTAAATTCTACTTGTTCTTCAGTTTTTACTAATGAAAATCTAAGCAGTATTCCTCATCTTGAACACTTGATAGTTGTTAACAAGGTTGAACAATAATTATTTCTGAGCTTGTTAAGGAAAAAAAGTTTAAAAAATATGGTTCCTGGGCCAGAAATTATTTTCCTAAGGATTTTTAAGGAAACTATGTGACCCACTTGCTACTATTTCTTGTACATCCCTCAATAGTAGGCAGGTGCCAAAGGATTGGAAGTTAGCTTATGGCTCCTTATTTCAAGGGAGGTAATTTAGAAACAAAATAAAATAAATATCACAGTAATTATAGGCTTATTGGTTTTACATCAGTTGTGGGAAAAAGTTTGGAAATTCTGAAAAATTGCTTTGCAAAGTCATTTAACAAAGTTTATAATTTTACTGGATAGTCAACGTGGTTTTGCTGAGGGAAAAATCTTGCATTACAATTCTTTTGGCATTCTTTGAAAAGGTTGCTGCTTATGTAAATGAGTGTAAGGGTGTAGATTGGTGTATCTGGATTTTTAGAAAGACTTTGACAAACTGGGTTAATGTCACAAGTGGGATACCTCAGTGCTCAGTCTTAAGACCTTTGCTCTTTTTTGATTTACATCAATGACACAGATGAAGGAATGGTCAATAAATTACTTATTTATTGACAATATTAAGGTTTTTGGTGTTGCTAGCTATAAAGAGAATGCTGCTGCTTTACAAAAGGATTTAGTGAGTTGGGCAAATAAATGGCAGGTGGGTTTTAATTGTAATAAATGCAAGACAGTGCACGGAAGTTATCATAATTTGAATTATAAGTATAATTTGGATAAGAATAACCTTAATAGTGTCATTAAAGAAAGGGATCTTTGTGAAATAGTTGATTATTTTCTTAAACCATCCAAGCAGTGTGCTGTTGGTAGTAGTAAGGCAAATAGATTTTAAGTTGTATCTAAAGAAATATTGAGTTTAAAGAGTTTATAATTTCATTGTATAGGTCACTGGTTTGGCCACATTTGGAGTATTGTGTTCAGTCTTGGGCTCTTTACCTTAGGAAGGACATTGATATGTTGGAAAGGGTTCAGAGGAAGGTTATTAGAATGGTGCCTTGGATAGAAGGTTTGTCATATGAGGAGAGATCAAGATCTTTGAAATTGTTTTCTTTTGAAAAAAAGAAGAGTTGTAAGGGATGTGATTGAGGTGTTTTAAGATTGTAAAGGGAATTGATAGTGGATGTATCACTTTTTTTTCATACTTACTGATGAAAATAGTAGGGCTAGGGGACAAGTTTTGGTAAGGTAGGAGTCATCTTTATCTGAGACAATCTTATTTTTTTAACAGGGTGTTTGGCCTTTGGATGTTGTGGAGGCATTGAGTTTAAGTATTTTTTTTTTTTTTAAATTTACGATAGTTTAGTTTAAAGGATGGGACAGCTGAAATGGATCAACAGGTCCCTTGTTGTCTCTAAACATTGTTAACTTTAGTAGTGCATTCGAGTCCACATAGTTCATGCTCGGTAGTATATCAGTGTACTAGAATCTACTAATTTGTTGTAGCTTTAGCGTATTACTTTTCATGGATGAATTTAGTAGCTTACATGATACAAGTTGGGCACCCCCCCTCCCCAAAGGGTGTGTGTGTGTGTGTGTGTGTGAAAAGGTTTGTATTAAAATTGTGAAGATTGTTAATTGAAGATGTGACAACAAATAATGACCCATAGAAGATTAAGAAAAATATATTCATTTTATTTGTTAACTTAAAGCTTTTCACTGTACATTGATTTAGCTACAATTAGTCAGGATGGAAAAATTAAGTTTTATGAAGAAAAATTGAAAATCACTTGAGAGATTCTAGAAGTTATGAAACTTTAAGATGAAAAGAAGCTGTTATTGTGTGCTTTAAATTATTTTTCATGCAAACTGACCCCACTAAAGACTGTGAAATTCAGACAAATCTTTAGTAAAACTACTTCATTAAATAAGTTTCTTCTTTTATGTCAAAGTCTTAAAATGTTAAACAAAACCTTGCCAAATTTCATGAAGATGCAACCAAAACATTGTTACTGTGTGTGTAGTTTGACAATTACGTGGTGGTTATAAGATCAGTCAAAATGATTTTGGTTTTGACTAGCCTGCCTGTATGTAATAATTGTGTGACTATAGTTGACCTAATTCTTGCTCTTTGTTAATTTATTACATCAATAAATAAATAGTTAATTACCTAGCTCTGTTCTCAACTAGTAGCATTTGTGATCTACACAACTGATGGTATATTTCAAAGCTTATTCACGTTGATTTTCTGTGATATCTTGTACCATTATTTCTTGATTCCTGTATGTGTATTACTTCTGTATCCATGATTATTACCATTTATACACACATAGCTATGATATTTTCCATTTGGATTAGCCATCCAATTTTTCTCTCGTATATATCATATTTACAGTTTTTTGCTTGGCTTTCCTAAAATTGTGAACAGTATTTGATTTCTAAGCAAATACCTTCAAGGTTTTGTCTTGAGCTTGTTTGAAATATGACCTTTCTCTTTAGCTTTACATCTAAAATATTTCAAACCTACCCTAAAACGTTTTGCAGTTTTAAAATTCCAACACTATATATCTATATAAAACTATTTGTTTTCATATTAAGCTGGCTAAACCTCTTGTCATTAACAGTGAGGATACCCAACTTGTAGATCAATGCGTTCCAATTTTTATAAATAGAAATGTAAGAAGGATGTTTTTCATTTAACTAGACTAGTTGCAAAGTTGATTGCTAGTTTTGCTCCAAGTACATGGCTTGATCTGATCAGAAGTTTAATTGTAACTACATATGTAATATTTACAGGAAAGCAAAAATTAAACTAAAATGTATTTTAAACATTTAACGTGTTGGCTTCAACTTCGACAATTTTAAAGAACTTATTTGAAGGTTCATAATTTTGAGATGCTGATACTTTTTCTCTCTAGACATCACAAGCTGAATTAAAAATAATTGCTGACCAAATGAAGACCAATCCTGCTGTATTCCAAGAAAAAGGCATTTTTGTTGGAGGAGACAGGTACATCTGTTTGCATGCTGAAGAAGATCTTGTAAGAGGAAGGAAAGGTGGTTCAGCACTATGTATTGTGAAAACTGGAAGAAGTAGGTTTATAAAGTAAATTGCATGGAACTATTTTAGGTGATTGGTAATGGTATGGGTGCTATCCATGTTTAGTATACTTTGATATTTGTAATTATTGTTTCAGTATTTGACCTTCTTTTTATTATTATTATTATTTTTTTTTTTTAACCATTTTGTGTTTATAGTTTTCGTGCTATAACTTTTAAATTAGTAAGCATTTGTTAACAAAATGTGGCAGATTATCAGTAAACATTACAACGCTTTCATATGCCCCCCCCCCCAAAAAAAGTTTATATTAAGTCTTAAGGTTTGTTAAGGAGTTTTTTGTTTTTTTCTGATTCTATTTTTTTTTCTTTTTTACATGTTTCCTATGCAAAATGAAAAGTAATTTTCATTTTAAGACTAAAAATACTTTTATGCATCAGAAAATTTTCAAATTTCACAAGCAAAATCTTTATAATATTCAGATAGTTATCAAACGTTTCTTAAGAAAAAACTTTATATTTTATCTGTTATTTTCACTAACAAATCTCTATATGGGTTTGGTAGATTTGACCGATCTTGTAGTCACAAC